CATCCCCAATTAAATCCGGAACCACTAAAAAAAACCACCAAGAGTGCCAGATAGATTTGGGCCTGCTCTGTTTTGGAAAGTAAACATTGGCAAATTTTAGTAGATCTAAATTGAATAATCAGTGTGTTTAGGAGTCTGGAAACACTATTATACAAGGGATTTAAGAGATCATTAATATTTAACCTATAAAAAGATAAGTCCTATTACTAATAAAATATTCCTTAAGACACTGAAGCATAAGATATCACTCATTTCTTCTTTTAATAAAATTAGTTTTGTCTTGGGCCTCAACCACTGGACTGGCAAAAAATCTACTCTCAGCTTTATATCATACCTCCTTGGACATCAGTGAGAACTACAGAATTCAGAGAATCCCGGAAATTGCCAAAGGACCTCTGGTCTTTAGCTTATTATGGTTCTCACTAGAATACATGTTGCCTAGAACTGTACAGTCAAGTCAAAAGCAGGTGACCTACTCTTCCTATGAGCATTTCTTATTCACTTGCCACACTTAGCTACTTGGTCCTTCCCCTGGGCCCGCAATACTTTGGTGCTTATTGTTTGTTTGCCACTCGGTATTCCCAGGCTCAGAAGATGATCTAATTCTCTCCTCCTGGGCCCCAACTATTACCCAACCCCCTTTCCCTAGAAGCACCTATTCAGTGGTATAGATTTAGTGAGAGGTGTAGCAGATGTTCTTATAACATTGGCCAAGGTTTCACAACTATCTTTGGACTGCTGGTGGTCCCACACAGGACTTTCTGGGCATCTCGAAACATATTTTAAGATCTGGGGGGAGAAAGGAGACTCATAGATTTGAAAAAACTAACAATTCAAGAAAGTGTGTGGTAAACTCCAAGTAAATGATGCAAAAGGAAGAAAATGGAATGTGGATTAAAAAGGAGGGTTCGTTTTCAGGTAGAGTAGATAAGATTTTATTCCTCGAGTCTTTATTTCCAGTGAAGACTTTTTGCCTGAGCTCCAGACACACACATACACACACACACATTTTTTCCTGATATAAGTGTCTTGCATTCACCTCAAAGCCAATACAGTATTTAAAATACAATCCATTACATTCAACCTATCTCCACCTTAGATTTATTCCATTCTAATATTCTCTCACTCCGATTCAACTGAGAGCCTATCTTTAATTTTTTCCTCTCCTTTACATCTGACATCCAGTCAGTCATCATCATTAATCAAGTCATGTCTTTTTCCAAAGCATCTCTCCTATCTGCCACCACATTATTCATATTGCCATTGCCTTATTTCTGACCCCAATTATATCCCACATGAATTTCAAGACAGTCTGTTATCTGGCCTTATGGCTAGCATATCCTCTCCACATTCCCCTTGTCATTCCAAGCTGCTGATGTGAGCTTTCTAAAATAAAAACCTGGTATATTTTTCCTACCTGAACCTTAAAGCCTTCCATTGCCTTCAAGCTAAAACTCAAATTCCTTGGCTTGACACAGGAGATAACCTCATGATCTAGTGCTTACCTACATATTATTTCTTACTTCCTATCATTTTTCTTATTTCTTATCAATTTTTACATTCTTTCTTTTTTTTTTTTTTTTGAGACGAAGTCTTGCTCTTATCCCCCAGGCTGGAGTGCGATGGTGCTATCACGACTCACTGCAACCTTCGCCTTCCAGGTTCAAGCAATTCTCCTGCCTCAGACTCCCGAGTAGCTGGGATTACAGGCACCTGCCATCAGGCCTGGCTAATTTTTGTATTTTTAGTAGAGACAGGGTTTCATCATGTTGGCCAGGCTGCTTTCGAACTGCTGACCCCAGGTGATCCGCCTGCCTCAGCTTTCCAGAGTGCTGGGATTACAGGTGTGAGTCAACACACCCGGCACATTATTTCTTACTATTCCTACTAAACTGCAATTCCTTGAATGGACCATGATCTCTTCCATCCCACCTCTTTGATGTTTTCTCCTGAAATGACCATCTCCCCTGACTCTGTAACCTCATCAGTTCCTCCAAAGTAAAGCTTCAGTAAAGCCTTCTATTTTCTATTCCTACTTCCCTACTGAAAAAGTACCTCTCCTTTTTGTTCTTTAGCAACCTACATGTATGATTTTTATGGCAAATACCATATTAGTAGAAATTATTCATTCCATTTATAATTTATCTTGATTATGAATTACTTAATATTGGAGACAACACCTTTCATCTTTAAAACCCTGAAACTTGAAAGAAAATAGAAAATCAACGTATTTTTATTATTGAATAAATGATTTTGAGTGATAAATGGGTAAAAGCATATTGAATAGAAGAAAGAACATTAGCAAAAGATTAAAACTTCTAAAACTAATCACCTCAAAATTACCACTAATCTCCATGTTGTCAAATTAAGTGGTCAGTTCTCAGATCTATCAGCAGCTTTTGTCACAATTGGTCATAGCATCCACCTTGAAATACTATTCTTACTTGGCTTCCAGGACTCTACACTCCTCTTATTTTTTCTCCAATGTCCCTAGTCACTTTTCAGTTTTATTTATTTATCCTTCATATCCATTTAGACCTATTCTCTTTTCATCTACATTTATGCCCTTGATGATCTCATATTCTCAAGACTTCACAATAGTATTTTTTCTTCAACTATTATAGGTAAATGCGCAAACTGGCCCAGTTGGAAAGACTTGACCTAGGCAGTAATGAATTCAGTGAGCTGATAAGCTGGTATGCTACCATGCTCAAATTATGTCTTTCCTAGACTTTTTTCTTGATGTCTAGGCTTGTTTATGCAACTGCATGATTAACATCTCTAGTTGACTCTAGAGTAGAAATTTCCAACTGAACACCTAAAACTGAACTTCCAGTCTACCCAAAACCCTGCTCCACCTGGTCTTCCTCATCAGTCACTTGCAACTCCATCCTTCTAGTTGTTCAGACCAAAACACACCTTTAGTCACATTCAGGTCTCATTCCCCACAGCTGACTCATCAAGACATTTAGTCCTCATCTTAACTATATCCAGAACCCAACCACATCTCAACACTTTCGCCATTGCTTTATTTATGGCCACCACTGTGGCCATAAATTTCTTATAATAAGAAATAAGAAAAAAAATGGATTTGGTCCAAGCCACCATCACCTCTTATTTGACTTATTACATTAGCCTCCTATTTGATCTTCCTGCTTCTACTGTTGTTCCCCTCAGTCTGTTTATAAGCCTGCAATCACAGATATTCATTTCAGAAACATCTTTCATAAAAACCTTTCAGTGACCCCCCCATCCTACTCAGAATCAAAGCCAAAGTCTCTACATTGTGCTGTAAGATCCCATATTATGCAACTCCCCATTACATCATCTCTTTACTCCTCCCTCTCTCTCTCTTCTTTAGCCATACTGGTCTCCTAGGATGTCTTCAAGCAAGTAAGATGTCCCTGCTTTAGAATCTCCATATTAACATGCTTTTTCTTTTTCTTTCAGCCTTGGCTCCAATTTCATATTCTCATTGAGGCCTTACCTGATCACCCTACTAAAAATTAAATCCTTATATGTATTATCCCTATCTACCTCCTCTGTTTAATTTTTATCCGTAGCACTTGTAACCTTTTAATACATTATTTTATTTTATTTTATTATTTTGTTTACTCTCATTCTTCCCTGCTGGATGTAAGGTCCTTTGAGGGAGGAATTTTTAGCTGTTTTGTTCTCTGCCATACCCCAGATCAGCGCATGATACTCTCTCAATAATAGTTGCTGAGTGAAGAAAGAGTACACACTTTTTATTTTATTTTATTTTATTTTGCATTTCTGAGTATCTCTGATAGTGTCTGGATTGCAGTAATATTTCCTTTAAGGTTCATAAAAGCCCTGTAAAGTAATTTCTACATCCATTTAAAATGTGATAAAACTAAAATTTATAAGATTTCAGTCAATGGTGTCTCAAGAATTCCTGTATAGGCAGGACTTAAGGACAGAATTCTGATTAGTGGGGACATTAAAAAAAAACTTTCAGAAATTTTATATTTTCTCATAGTGTACGTTTACTTGAGAGTGCTTTGAGAAATGCTGACTGCATGTGGAGTGCACTTGGGTTCCCTGAACCTTTGACACCAACTCTTGCCCAAGGTTTCTGTATTAGTCTGTTTTCACACTGTTATAAAGAACTGCTCCAGACTGGATACTTTATAAAGAAAAGAGGTTTAATTGACTCACAGTTCCACATGGCTAGGCAGGCTTCAGGAAACTTAAAATCATGGTGGAAGGGGAAGCAGATACATCTTACATGGCGGCAGGCAAGAGAGAGCATGTGAAGGAGGAACTGTCAAACACTTATAAAAACTTCGGATCTCATGAGAACCCACTCACTTTCAAGAGAACAACATGGGAGAAACCACCCCCATGATCCAATCACCTCCCACCAGGTCCCTTCCTCAATATAGGGATTATGAAGATTATAATTCAAGATGAGACTTGGGTCAGGACACAGACCAAAACCGTGTCAGTGTAACAACTATTAATAGCTATAGCAGCTTTCAAGTCAATATGTTTGGGAGAAAATTACTACAATTTGTCTATAACAGAAGTTTGTTTAAGGGAGTAGAAAATAATAAGACTGATGATGAAATGGTGCCATATTATGAGGTTTAGAGTGGTTTGCTGAGAATTGGTTTCAACCATTGATTCCCAGACCTGTAGTGACTCTTAAAAATATTGAAGTGGGGCCCCACCCTACACCTCCCACTGGTGTAGATATTTAATAAGCTTCTTGGATTTTTGTTAAGCAGGCAGCCCTGCATGCCAACCATATTGGCATTTGTGAACAGGTGCTGTAGATTATGTAAACTACTAAAGCTTTTCAGATGGCAGTTTGCGTAGGTTTTGTGTATTTGAGATTTACTTCTTGCTGAAGAGTACCCCCAGTTTTGTGCACTGCACAATCAGGTAAATCTGACAGGAAGGTGGTTGGAATGTCTTTTAGAGCAATGTATCATGCACTGCCTCACAATAGTATTTTCCTCCATCTGTTGTAGGTCAATGCACAAACTGGCCCAGTTGGAAAGACTTGACCTAGGCAATAATGAATTCGGTGAGCTGGTAAGCAAATGCATTTTCTAAACTTGATAAATACACTCCAGGAGATTATTTCTTTTGCTCTGTCTTTGTAAACCAAGGTATTAACTCGATTGCACATTTGTATTTGCTAAATGTAAAAATAAAAAACTGGAAGTTATTATTAGCTTTCACTTTTTGGAAAAGAAAATGGAATCGAGCCAGAAACAAATTGATAGTTTTGAGCACCAACTATGTGGCAGGTACCATGCTTAGTATGTTACATATGTTATCTCTTCTAATCCTGATTAGACATGTTGCCATTTTAACCTTATGGAAATGAGCTTAAAATGGTCACCGTCATACATAGCTATTATGTGGCTGAACAGGGATTAAACCCAGACTTGATTAACTGCAAAGACCATACCTTGAAAACCTACTTTGGAGGCTTCTTGGTACCATTGCATGAGAGAAGTAAGTCACCAGTGGCGTTCTGATTCTTACTGTACTTAAAGCGTCTTTCTAGTGAACTACCTTACTGCTGGCAAGACTGGCAGAATTCTGCCTCCTCCTTTTAAGCATCCATTTTATTTAAAATTTGCCTGAAGACCAGAATCTCAAATGCAGATCAGAAAGCATATACTTCTTTACAAGACGACTCAGCTTTCTCTATCCAGAAGTCTTCCACTTGAATATCTTCAAATTTCAAAAAATTCAATTGATCTAAAGTGTATTTTAACTAATTTAAACTTAAAACATTTAAGTAAGAAATCCATTCCCTGTCCCAGGTCTGTTACTAGCTGTGTGACTTTGTGCAAGTTGCATAACCTCTTTTAGCCTTATTTTCCTCATGTATAAAATGGGGATTATAATGTTCTCCCTCACACAGGGCTTGTGTGAGAATTAAATGAGATAATGTAGGTACAGGACCTGGCAAAAGTTATTCTAATAAATGCCAGTGTGCAACGGTGAAAGGGTTTAACTCACACTGTATTTTAAATGCACAAAGAAAATTAATTTGTTTTACTTCAACCATAGCTAATATGATCATCACCCCAGCCTCCATCAGTTGTTTATTAACGATAAAAACTGAGTTTTGGCCGGGCTCAAGCCTGTAATCCCAGCACTTTGGGAGGCCGAGGCGGGTGGATCACGAGGTCAGGAGATCGAGATCATCCTGGCTAACATGGTGAAACCCCGTCTCTACTAAAAATACAAAAAACTAGCCGGGTGTGGTGGCGGGCGCCTGTAGTCCCAGCTACTCGGAGGCTGAGGCGGGAGAATGGCATGAACCCGGGAGGTGGAGCTTGCAGTGAGCCGAGATCATGCCACTGCACTCCAGCCTGGGCGACAGAGCGAGACTCCGTCTCAAAAAAAACAAAAACAAAAACTGAGTTTTATTCTTCTGTGATTACATTTAATCTGATTTAAGAAGTTAGATAGTCCTTTTAGGTTGTTTTCATGTTTCTTACATAAAAGTTCCTAGTCTCTCATGTTCCTCTCTCCATCCCCTGCTTTCCTCCCTAAGATGGAATTTGGGTATGTGCAGAGGAGGCTAAATTTCTTCATGACCTGGGCAGTAAGGACTCTCTGGCCTCAAGCTAGTTTTCAGAAGTAGGCTGGCAGCACATGCTGGTCTCTGGGCTGCTGTCTGCAGCTGATGCTGCCTCCTGTGTTAAATCTTCTGTTCTGAATCTGCAGTCAGGTCTTCGGGCTCAGACAAAACTCTCTAGGAGCATTGGCTATCTTCCTCTTTGGGCATTGCTATACTCAGCTCTCACTGGCTATAAATGAATGAGACTGTGCCCTGTCCTCCCTCCACCACAGGATGAGCAGTCCATCCCCAGTTTGTGTTGTGAAGGGCCCTCACCAGCCATGACCCCAGTAGTGGCCCCATGGCCTGTCTGCTGGCTCTGAGAGTCCACATAACATACAAACTGAGAGACACCAAGTAAAGCCGAACTCCACAGACTTCTTTGCCTGTCAGATTACACTGTCAAGTTTACTCTGCTTTGTATGCACCCAGTGTTGTTACAAAGCAGTTTGCAGGGTGGCCTCAACATAGATATTAAGGCAAAAGTACCTCGTAAATATATAGCCTAATGTACCTCAGAAATTTTTAAAGGAGATATTTATTAATGTAGGTAGAGAGATTGGTGAGGGTGGTAAATAACAGATAGTGGCAAAACTAGTAGTTTTATATAAGTTGTTAAGGACCTAAGATCTGCTCACTTTTATTAAGACATGTAGGTCAGTCTAATAATTGAAAAACATGGACAGTGGATTCAGACAAACTGAGGTTTGATTCAACTTCATCACTAGCTAACTGGGTACCTTTGGGTCTATAGCTCACTATCCAACTTCCTTATCAATATAGTGAGGGCACCAATCTCCTCTATCTTAAAGGCTTTGTGAGAGAATTTCATACAAGATAATCTACAACAAACATTCAGTATGTTAAATGAATTTCAATTCTGTCAGGTATATTATTCTGCAAGTGTTTCATATGAGTATGTGTGAATCAGTATTTTACTGTAAAGATTTGGGTCAACAATGATGAAAAAGGTGGGTTTATTTTTCAAAACTAGATGTACTAAAAGTAAATTTTAAATTATTTCAGTAATGTGTGATTTATGGTATCTAAGAAATCCTATCAGCAGAAAACTTTTATTTTGTGATATGCCAGTATTTCATGCTAGGCACAAAGTAAGTCTCTTTTTCTATTTTTTTTTTCTATTTTTTTCTTACTCTTGCCTTTGTTCTAGGAGGTTTTATTTGATAGTGCTTAGGTATTTGAAGAGTATAACTGTGAAACTTTATGTTTCTGATGTTACTCACTTTTAATCATAGTTTTCTCTTACTAGTCATATGCATGGAACTGGCTGCTGTTGTAACAGTAATAACTTTTAATGAGAAAATAACAGACTTTGCTCTGATAAGTGACCTCTAGAAACAATGTCATGTGAAGGAGAGGAGATCAAATCCTATTCTGTAGCTAGATATTGACACCATACGAGATTATCATTAGATGATTTATTTTTGCATGACATGGTAAAGAGACAATGTGGAGAGTAGATGACTATAATTTTAAAAATAAAATGTGAAGGCCTAATGAGAACAGAAGTTGGCTTGCTTGAGAAGCAGTGTAAATGTCCCAAATAAGATTCAGAGTAGAAATATCTACTTACGGAAGCATTCATAATATTGAAAAATTCTAAACAAAAGGAATTATTTTATATTTTTAACAGCAATTATCCCCAGAAGACATTAGGCAAAGTTCTGAGAACATAATAGATATTTTTGGGGAGTTTTTTGTTGTTTCTTTCATGAATTGTTTTGCTCAACATAAAATGAATAAATGTTTGATTTTTAAAAAATATAAAGTTAAAAAGTGAAAAAATGAGAGTAAAGATAATTCATGATCTCATCCTATATATAACCATTATTAATATTTTTTGGTATATTCTTCCCTTTACTCTCATTTTCTTTAATGAAGTCAAACAAGTATTATTTGGGGTCAGGTCAGAGATGGAACACTATTAGGCCGATGTATGGAACCAGGTAACATCAACCCTTAGGATCATCCTCTTTGCTGACCATGGCCAACCCTCCCCCAATCTAGACCCAGCTTACAGCTGCAAGCCTCCTTCACTGCCTCTCTCCTCCCCTGTCTGTGCTGGAAAGAAGAGGGCTGTTCTGTAAAGGAGAGTGTCACTCAAGGCCCCAACAACTCTGCCATGGGAGCCTTCATCAGAAGAGTCAGTGATAAGAAGCAAAATGTGCTTTTTTGTAAGCCAGAAAGAAAGAAGATCCCAGCCCAGAGGAGACTAACAAACTAAGTGAGAAGTAGTCTATATGTGGTTTAGAGTTTGGGAATTCAAAGAAAGCAGCATGGGCAGGGACCCACTGACCACAGAGTGGCAATGGGTAGCAGGGAAGGAAGGCAGGAAGTACAATGGTTATTGGAGCAGCATCTCCCCTTTGCCCCCACCAAAGCCCCACAAAGGACTCCTAAAAAGAATAACTGGGGAGGGCTATTTCAAGAAGGACCTAATTTCCTTATCCTGAGCTATTCAAGCAGGGAGTGCTTGAATAGATTTAAAATTTTACTCTAAGTGTGGCATAATACATACTGGTTATACGTGTCTGCACAGATATTTCTACCTACCAAATTGGAATTATAGTGTGCATTCTATTTTATTTTAAATCATGGGTATCAAATTCAAAATCTAGATTCATTACAGGCGTAATATATAACCTTTCTTTGTAGCTAAACTAGAAAGATTGCCAAATAATGGATACAAAATAAACACTAAACTAACTTGTCTATCCCTGATTTCTAATGAGATTGATGATTTTTTCGTGTATTTGTGGCAATTTGCATTTCCTCGTTTGTAAAATGCCAGTTTATGTATTTTTGCCCATTTTTCTATTGGTAGTCATGTTCTTGTTGATTTATGGAGATCTTTGATATATTTCACATACTAATCCTTTGTTGGCTGTAGGTACTACAGTTATTTCTTTACAGTCTCTGGAGAGTCTTTTTATTTTCTACCTGGTACATTTTGATGGATAGAAGGTCTTAATTGTAAAATAAGAAAATGTATACTTTTTGGTGTATAGCACATTTTGTTTTGCTTAGGAAGTCCTTCCTTCCTCAAAGCCAAAACATTTTTTCATGCGTTTTCTTCTAAACATTTGAAGGTTTAATTTTTTCATAACCTAATTGGTTTCTGTGGGGGGCTTCATTATTTATACTGTGTACTGTGTATTTTTGTTCCAGAGACTCAGCTTTCCAAGAACCATTTATTAAGTAGCACTTCCTTTCCACGTGGATATGAGTATCACCTCTTAACAAAATAGGATTTCTCTACATTCATGAGTTACTTTCCTCATTTTCTAGGTACAAAAACTACATGATTGTAATTAGCACAAATAATAAGTTTTGACAGTGGATAGGGAAAGTGTCTCAAACTTAGGCATCTGGACATTTACTTTTTGTATAAATTTAGAATTAGTTTGTCAAGTTTCTCAAAAAGAAAAAA